TGTACTATAAATTTCAACTGTCTCTTCCTTATGTTAAGTATGTTTCCTTTTTGTTTCCATTTTCTCTAAAACTTTATTGTTCGGTCCATTATATCCTCAGCATCCTTCTGTACAGCTACATTTCTGTTGCTTCAAGTCTCTTCTTCATTTTTGAGGAGATTGTCCAGTATTCACTGCTTTATAGGAGGACAGACATCACGTAACAGTTCAATATGCTTTTCTTTGTTTCTAATGAATTTTTTTCTGTTTCTTAACACGTTTCTTAGCTTTTGGAATGCCTCTTTACCAACCCAATGTACTTTCGTATTTCAGTGTCTCATTTTCCGTCCTCTCTTAAAACACTTCCCAGATACGCTTAAATTCATAAAGCCCAGGTACCAAAGAGGAAAGCTATATATATATATATATATATATATATATATATATATATATATATATATGTGTGTGTGTGTGTGTGTGTGTGTGTGTGTGTGTGTGTGTGTGTGTGTGTGTGTGTGTGTGTGAATATATAGAAAATAGGAAGGAACTTATGTCACGTTTTGGAATCATATTTTTAAATAAATAATTATATATATATATATATTTACTGTAGTGAAATTAGATTCAAAATTAGGTCCTCAAAAGTCGCATGATACGCGTGTATATACGGTAAATCAAAATATACAGTCTCAATCGCTACACCTGTGTCCCAGGTAAATGACTTAAATATTTTCTTTTGCTTCCTCTCTTTCAGTTGTTTTGCCATTTTCGCAAAATTAAATACAAATATTCAATTTTCATTATTTGAAAGTGATACATCTTCATACAGGGGATCATTTACCCTAATATCTCCAAAAACGCCTTTCTTGCTAACAGTTTTTCAAACATTCAAAACCTCCTTAATGATAGCAAAGGGTTTTTCCTGTATGCTCACTATTTAATAATGGGGGAATTTTAGTTTGCAGTTATAGCGTTATCTCAAAATACTTCCAAATAGTAGGAAATATTTTGTCTCTCAATTGCTTTGGGGTGAGCTGCTACTTCTCTTAGTTTTAAGTGTTTAACAAATTGATTTTTTTTTTCAAGTTCAATAAGATTTTTTTCACAATTTTTCCATCTTGCTGTCATTGACTTATCTTCAAAATAAGAGTAATTTCGAACACGCTTCAGTTATTCAATTATTAAGAATTATTTTGGTTTTACTGACATAGTCAAAAAGTACGTATGAACCATAATTACTTGTATAAGCTTTATTTTCAGCAGCCAAATTTACTGAAAAATAAAAACTTGGTTTATATGATTATTACTAAATATTCATCATGTGAAAATGACACAACTTTATTCGGGGGATCATTTATCCTAATGTACACTCCCTTCTTGCTAACAATTCGTCAAGCATTTACAACTCCCTTAATAATCATAACTGTTGTTTCTCTTATATTCTCACGATTTAATAATGAATAAGTTTTAATTTCCGGTTACAGTTCTATCAAAAAATACTTTTAAGTATTGGGAGATTTTTGTCTTTCAGTTGGTTTCGTTTCATTTGGTTCGTTTTGTTATTATATCAACATCTCAATGGGTTATTTTATGCCGACAACATTTTAGGATAGATTCGTATGGATAGAATATATATTCTTTGGTTTAGATTGGTTTGGTTTATTTTGTTTTACGGCATATCAACCTCAATGGGTTATTTAATGCCGATAAGATTTTTATTGCTAATTTTCTAAAATGTACTGCTAGTAATATTTTTCTTTTTCAAAAATGTACTGCTAGTAATATTTTTCTTTTTCAAAAATGAACTGCTGGTAATACTTTTTCAAAAAAAATATTGCTGGTATTAAAACCTACTTTTATACTTTCATATTGTTTTGAACCGATTGGGGTTGGGCTAGGACCCTGACAGGTGCTACCACCCCGGGTCAGGGTGGACCTGGGAACACCAGCAATTAAGAGGTGGTTCTATGCTCGTCAAAATCTCCTAATCAAAGGCCTTGATGTCGGATGTAGTTTATCGTCTTACCCAGGACGTCTCTCAGTTGGTTTGGACTAAACTACTACTACTACTGCTACTCTTGAGAGTTCATAGGTTTCCAGTTTATTTAAACGTTTAGTATTCGGACATAGTTTCAGATGTTAATCTACTAATGAAACAATGTGCATTAAAAGGTTACTGCCGAATTATCTCGTTTTAATTAACAATAAATAGGTAGACATAGGTCTGGTGTGCACAAGAATCTAAAGGGTAAGCAACATTTGGTTTGCACGAGAATAAAAAAATGATGGTAGACATAGATACAGTAAATAGGTAGCCGCATTAGACCTCTGGTTGTCAGCATATTCTTCACTCCAACTGACAGGGCGACTTATAATTATGAACACCAAAATTGAAGAGTGTATACGAAAGTGTTTGGCTGTGTAGAGCAAATGAATAATTAAACAAATAAATATAAATATATATATATATATATATATATATATATATATATATATATATATATATATATATATATATATAAGCAATCGTCATGATAGAAACAAAAAAAGAGACATCATTAAAGTATTTTATTGTAACCAGATGTATCCGAATTATAAACAAGCAGAAAAGGCCATTAAAAGTATAATTTGCTGGTAAATAATAGATAATGATGTCGACAAATATCCTAAATTTATTATTTACTATAAAAAAATTTTAGCCTTCTAATTATTATCTATAATCAGGGCTAGTGCGCATTACCCCCGACCGGTGCTTTGTGACCCTCGCTATTGTATTAACATTTGCTTATTTCTACCTACATTTATATACGCTACAAATTAAACTAAGTACAACTATTAAAGGATGGAAAATCTTCGCGGGCTTTGACGTCATTCTAGGGTCTTTTGTTGTTGTTGTTGTTGCTTTAATCCAAAATTGGGAATTTGTTTTGCTCTTGCTAAGTGTTGAAAAAAAAACACAATATAAAATTCAATATCTTTTATCCTTAATGTTGAATGTGTCAAATTATTTAACTTTTAAGAAGAAAAATCTCAAGTTGATGTTAAAAATTCCTGCAAAACATCGTTGATTTATTTAAAATGAAGTGATTTATTATAGCACGTTTCTAATTTGTATCTAAATACATTGTATTTATTTTCAATTTTTCTAGTTGAATTTTTCATATATATAGCACAAAATTTATTGTACATAATTAGGTTGCAATAAAATTTGTACTTTATATGAATACTACCCTATGAAAATTGAAATGTAGCAGAGTGCGAAGTGTCTAATAGATACGAGAGAGGCTGTATCATAGATTCGAAGGTGGGAACGAGACCCTTGTACCGGCCTTATCAATAACTCAGGACCCCGAAAATACACACCACATAAAATGCTGCTTATGAATTCTCACGTCATTTGGGAGATTGTATTTCCAATACTAATAATAATAAAATAAATAATTAATTTCTACACCACATTCTCTCGTAGATTGACTTGTGGAACCTTAGTGCAATTCGTGTATATGTTGATCATTACGTCACAAACAACCGAAATTGTAGATGAAACCAATGTATTATACAGGACTCACTGCAAAGAAAACTTAAAATTCTAGAAGCTATTATAAGACAAAAGAAACATCCCACATTCAATGAAATATGTTTCTCCACAGGCAATAATAAAGTAAAGTGTTTATAAAATATTTCCTTTGCATATTTAAAACACATACAAATAAATAGATAACACGTATACATATTTGATATATACTTTTTTGTTTAACTGTTACAGTTTGATGTCGCGTTGAAATGATTCCAATTCCAGTGATCGTTTTTATCCAAAATAAATACTGTTTACTATACTGACAATATCCAGTTCTTGATAATGATAGAGATGTTCGAAAGTACTTAAATCAAAACAGAAAAAAAGGAGATGAACTTTGGACAGTTTATTCATAACCTCATTCAGAAATTAGAAAAATTTCATAAAAGATTAAATAGACAGATCTTGTCGATTGAATTGAACAAAATATGTTTGGATGAATTCTTGCTGCCTAATTACGCCTTATATTTTTTCGGGTCGACTGCACACACGCACACACACATGCATACACATAGACGACCGCAGTCGGAATCACAGAATCATTGTAACCACCATGATCCTTTCATTAGCTGCATAGTATTTGCTTCGGCAGGGGTACATACGGTTTTTGAATGCAGAGTTGTCCTTCTACTAGACTGGTTGACACTCAAGGCCGAAGAGCCCAGTATGCTCTATTATTTACCCATATTTTGAGGTTTTTGAATTCAGAGTTGACCTTCTCCGAGACCGGTTGCCACCCAGTGCAATGGGACCCAATCTGTCTTGCTATTTACACATAGGACAAAAAGATATGAATTCATGCCTTTCCCAAGTTCCGAGTATTTATGAGCCCACTAGGGCAAATGTGACATAAGATAGGCTTACTTAGGAGCTTCCCATGCGTAGGTATGGGTTGGGCTAAAAGTAAATTACCAAATCCACCCCGGCAACAAAAACTTCTCAGACCGAATCACAAACCTCCACATTTTTGTGCAAAAAGGATGGTTGTATCGCAGATATTTTTTTAAAATAAAACCTAGCTTAATTCTCACACAAGACTATACGTATGGAATCCTCAAAAAGGATCTAACTCATTATTCTGCAAGATGATCTGCGATACCTACTTATTGACCCTTACCCCATGAAGAGACGCCTAAAACAAAAACTGGTTCCTGAACGACGTTTGGGTTCATTAATTGATTTGTTTTTTACGACTTATCAGCATTTTGCAGGTTATTTAAAGAGATAAAATATTTATAGATTATAAGTAATTTTTGGAGATAATAATGATTTGCAAATATAGGTCCTACCAATTAGACCATATTTAGAGTAGAAGATGGGGATCCATACCTTTCCCAAGGGTATTTGCGCGTAAGTAAAGATAACACACCTGACTGAAACTGGAACTCAGATCTCCGATTTCCAATTCCGTACCGTTATCCCTTACACCACTTGCACATCCAAGCTTACAGCACTTGGCATTCCCAAGTGGTCAACCATCTAGATACTGACCAGGATCGACGTTAACTTCGGTGATCGTAAGAGAACCAGTGTTTCAACAATGATATGGCTGTAAACCCGATTACGTTTAGGAACAAGATGATGAAATATAAAGTGTGTCGGAAATTTCCAGGAAAAAAAAAAAACAGTTTTCAAATTTACATTCATTTTCTAGTTTTCAAAAAAAATAGCGCTAGGAATTTCTGCACACAACTAATATTTTTTAGTGGACAGAAATTTTAAAAAATTCAGTCTGCGGAAAAGCCAGACACCAGACAAGGATGAAAAGCGGAAATGCAACTTGACATATGAAAAGTAATTTAAAGTCACTTGAATCCGATTCTGTACAAGAGGCAGAACACGAGCCCACGATGAGTGAATCTTATTCCTCTTAAAACATCCGTAGGGTCAACAGTTAAAACATGATCGTATAAATAAATAAATAAATAATGAAACAAAGTACTTGAGTACACTAAAATAGAAAGAGGAAAAAGACAATGATGTGTTTTCTATCCGGATGTATTTAATATGTAGATAATTCTAGGAAAATCAGAGGACCTACCAGAATATAGACGTAACTTTAATAATACAATCTAAATATATGGCGCATAATTTAATTACTATAATAATATCACCTAAACATTTGACGCATCATAACTTTAATAATATCGTCTAAACATTTGACGCATAATAATTTTAATAATATCGCCAAAACATTTGACGTATAATAACTTTAATATCACCTAAACATCTGACACATAACTTTAATAATATCGCCTAAACATTTGACACATAATAACTATAATAATATCATCTATCACATCTGGCGATGATAGTGCTGTCTGCTTAGTGCCTAGTGATACGTTAGGCCTCTTGATCCGGTTTCTCTTATCGGAGTCGTTTCATGTGTGAGGTGATTGGCTCAATACACAATCTCTATATTCTGAGCAAGGGTCAATTTTTAGTCGAGATTTTCTTTCCCTTAGACAACCACGTGTTTCCACGCTAACGAGTTCCATCTACCCGAGTCTGGGAATTCAGAGTTTTTCTTCTTCTAGAGTGGTTGCAAACCAAAGCTGTAGAGCTCAGTCTGCCCTACTGCTTAAATCATAGCTGGTGGGGGAGAGAAGACTGATTCATACTTTTCCCAAGGTTATTTATGCGAAATTTCCGGACCCTTAACCATTACGCCACCCTCACATTTGTGCCTGATGATAGAAAAAAAATGAAAAAAAAAAAATAGAAAATATACAAATACATTTTTTTTAAGCGTTTCACCCCACGCAGGACGGGAAGCCACTAGGACGCAAGGGGTTACAGAAAATTTGGAGCAAGATCAGATAAGGTGAGGAGAAGGGTAGTGGATAGATCAAGGCAACTGGAGATGTCGATTGACATTACATTTGAATAGCTGGAGATTATAGCTCTCAGTGAAACTGGAATAGCGAAGGGAGTTCCACAGGTGAGAGGTGCGAGACATGAAGCTATTGGAGTAGAAGAGACGGCTACATTTAGGAGTTTCGACAGTGAAGGGGTGAGAACGGGATGCCAGCCTTGTAGGGCGCTTGAACTCATGAAGTCTGAGAACCAGCGAATGCAGCTCCTCGGAGCAATTGCCATGAAAGTACTTGTAAAACAGACAGAGAGAGGCAACGGCGCGTCTGTGAGAAAGTGACTGTAGACGAGATGTGTACTTAGAATTAGAAAAAAAAAACACTGTAAATGTCTTGGGCACGTGACGAGGAAAGAGGACTCGGAGAATTTAACACTTACAAGACATAATGAAGTCAAGAGGAGCAAAGGGAAAAAGTGAGTAATCTTGGTAACGGCTTTATTTATGGAATAATTTTTATATATAAAAGTGAGGGAAGTGGTGGGGAATACAATAGGCGACAGTTAGTTTATATCTAAACGTTAAAGACACCGAGACGCTCGTTCCTCCATCTTGGATTACTAGGATTTATTATCAGCCGACGTAACTTTAGTAACATACGTTAAACGTCTGCCACTGTTGATGGCAGATACAGAAGGAAAAAACTGAAAGAATAATTGGTAAAGTTTAACAAACGTACCTGAAAAATAGACGGGTTTTTCTTGACGCCGCTATTACTGTATATTCCCTCGGCAATTTTTTTTCAGAAAGCTATCTTTAGAATTTTGATAAAACCCAAACATATGAAACTGGATTTATGTATTCCCCTTTTTTCTCGAGAATCGATAACAAAAGCATTAAACGCTATTCTTGTAAAAAAAAAAAACAGTTTAATAGTGTTTAAGATTTTTGTCAGTTCTCGAGAATTGGTAACAAAAGCATTAAATACTATTCTTGTAAATAAACAGTTTAATAAATTGTGTTTAACATTTTTGCTGTCAGTTCTCGAGAAAAGTAAAATAAAAATCCAGATACTCACAGCCTAATTCAGTGAATTTATGTGGTTAGGGCACATGGAAGAAATGTCCGGAAAAATGCATTTTTCAAAATTTATAATTACAGTTTTTCGTAATTATGTATTCATTTCGAATTTCTTGCTCTCTTCATAGAAATTTTATAAATTTATGAAAAAATTGTTTTCATAGTTATTTCTATATAAAATGTGTTACATTCACTTACTCGCAAATATCCTTAGGAATGGTATAGATCCATCTCATCCCCATGTATGGGTTAAATAGAACGTGTATCTGGAAAAATCAGTGTTATTCTCAAAAATGTGTCACTGCACTGCAATATTCACTCGCAAGAAAAAAGAGAATTATTCTTACAATCCAAAATATTTTGGATAAACCACAAAGGGTTGATAAGCCGTCCCCAAGCTTATATGTCGCTGGTTAAGGTAATCCGAAAGTGACTTGACCCAAAGAGTTGTGAGTTCAATACATGGCCACAGCAGAGGTGAACAAAAAAAATTGAAGTGTTGAGTTGCTAAGGAGAGTTAACTGAAAACTGAAATATCCAGATACGTGGAACTAGAACAATCTACCCCGAGTATTAAATAAAGGGTTCAGTTCGAAATTTCAAAGTATATCAAGTAGAAGGCCGGAGAGTACAACGGCCGAAACGTCGTTAATATGATAATAAAGATGAGAGCAAAAGTCTGAACAAAGTAAATAGTGTAAATTGTTACAATCTCAGAAATATAGACAATATTCCAATCAATCATTATTACGGTGGAACCTCAGTTCACGAATTTAATTCGTTCCTGAAGGCCGTTCGTAACCCGAAATGTTCGTAAACCAAAACTCCCAATAGGAAAAATGTAGAGAAAAAAGTCACAGTATTGGAAAAGAAAAGCACGGTACAACACACGAATGTATACAACACGGCGGTCGACTCAGAAATGATTCTGTTCGGGTTAACACTGTTTGGCAATGTGGTTCGAGAACCGAAATTTTGTTCGATAACCGAGGCATATTCATCACGAATTTTCTGTTCGAAAACCGATTTGTTCGATATGTGAGACGTTCGAGAACCGAGATTGCACTGTATGTGGTAAATAATAAATACTGCACTGTAGTTAGTTCTCATATTTTTATAAACTTGTAAATATAAAATTTAATCGTGTAAAAAAAACAATGTAACAAAATAATCTTTAATCATTTTGTCAATTCTCGAAATAAAAAATCGAACGCATAAATACAATTCTTAATTTTTAAAACAGCTTTTTAAAACAATAAAAATTGCCGAGGGTGTATCTAGTAATAGCGGTGTCAAGGAAAAAAAGACATTTTTTTTACCATCTTTTTTCTTTTTGTGAGTACCGATGTTAAACCTTGTCGAATAATTAAAATTCTTTCTTCTTGCTTTCATCAATTATTTACTGTAAAACGCACTGCATGACTGTGAACAAAGGGGGCAGCCGAAGATGTCAAACAGGTGCGAAAATCCAATTATCAGGTGAATATAGTAACAGATGGTGGAAAGAGTGACAGAGAAGATACATTGCAGTAACAAATAATATACAATATCAACGGGTATTACCTACCCTTTTTTTCGTCACACTTGGTTTGTTCTGGGCGGTAACTAGGCAAGGTGAGAAAATGGTCAAAAGTTAATCGAATTTTCTTTACGTCTCGACGGAATCGAAGTGACAGAACCAGACAAAGGAGATTCGACTGGCTAAGCGGCTAATTACTGCTTAGCGTCCCGAAACAAGATTGATTGTATTTGGTTTTTAGAGCTATAATTTGCTGGCTTTTTGAGATTTGAGTTCCTAAATACAACGTAGGCTTGTTTGACTTGTCTGATAACTTCCATATGTCGGAATAAATTCGTAATGAAACTATTCACAAACTCTGCCAAGAATTCTACGTTTTTATATATTTCTGTATTTTTCTTAGAATGGCGACCTAACCGTTAACAAGAAAGAATTGCAGTAACAAAACAACCAATGAAGATAAGACGTAATTGAATTAAATAAAATTTTCATCTCCCAGTGTTTGACAAGATTTGATAGTTTCTTCGTTCCGGGGTATCGCACATCAGTCGTGAGAGACTGAGAGTTCGTTCGAGGTATAACACAAGGTAGTAGTTTAGATATCTATCTTCTTATATGGAAGTGAATGTTGGACAATCTGCCCAAGGATGAGGAAAAAACTAAAAGCAGTAGAAATTTTGTTCTACTGAAGGATACTGAAAAGTCTATGGATGGAGTGAGTAAGCAAACATGAAGTCTTAAAGGAAATGGTAACAGAAAAATACGTCCTCCATGTAGTCTATGCAGTGCAAGGTCTCAATATACCATCGCCATTCAAGGAGAAGGAAAACTCTTAATTCAAACGACCCGACATCATGTGGCTCTTGCCTCTTTAACTTCTGAGTGGAGGAACGGTGTAACCTCAACATCCATGGTGAAAAAGGAACCGGCAAACCATTGCAGTGTTCTGCCTTGAATGCCAACATGAACCACAATTGTCAGATGGAGAAAAGTGGTGATCACATCGTCGGTGCAAAATGCGCTAACTCTATAAATGAATAAATTGTTCATGGGTTAAGACGTTCTAATATGAACCGGAATGTTGTACAATACTTTTGAAATAACTTTTTAAAATATACCACAGAAAATTACTTTAAAATTTGA